CATTAAGTGGATAGCAACAACCACAGTTTTTATGATCTCCATCTGCTCACCAAATTGAGAAGGGAATCCTTATTAACTATCTTTTTACAAGATGTATTCTCATTAGGCTACATACATATCAAAAAAAATTCTTTGAGAAAAATTTTAATGAGTTTATGAATTAAAAGATATTCAGTTGGTGGGGTGGAGTGCCCCTGTAGTTCCAGCTACTCTGGAGGCCTAGCCAGGAAGATCTCAGGTCCAGGGTTCCAAGGCCAGCCAGGTCAACAAAATGAGAGCCTGTCTCAAAACAAAACAAAATGTGAAGGATGGTCCCCCTGAAACACACAAACCAGAAGCTCCCTGCCCAGTCCACAGTGCACAGTTTTTTAATACACAGAAAGAGAAAATGAAAAAGAAAAACCAAATCAATTGGCTCCTACCAATAAGAGATGTACCATAGACATTGTATTGTGAACTTCCTTGACTCGAAGTTTGTTTTACAGTCTTTTCTAGGAGTTTTAAAAGTTGGATAATGAATTTGGAATAATTTTTACATATGATTGGAGTAGCTTTCAGTGGTTTGAAATATATAAGAATAAAATAGGATGCAATGCATAGTTGAATTTGTGGTCAGCATTAGAGCTGAGGCATTACCAAGGTTATAAAAGGTGGGAAGATTTGAGATGATCTGGGAACCTTACTACTGATTCTGTGCCTTCCTTTGGTATGTGGGTTTGGGAATTTTGAAAAGGAACCAGGGAGAGGCTGAGTACAGATTTCCATGGAATAAGTTAAGTGTTTCCATTTGGGCTTCTTTATGGGGCAGTCAAACAAAAATAAATCTTTGAAAATTGGAAGTTAACAGAAACTTCTTCTCCAGATGAATTTTCAGCTTAAACTGGAGGAGAATCTTTACTCAATGTCCAAAGAAGGAAATATTTTTGTTTTGGACAATATTTATACAATTATCAGTTTTGAATGTTTCATAGATGAAATGGCATTTGGGGAGAAATGGCATTTGCTACAAGAGTAGCAGGATTGTTGCAGACCACAGACATGCATGTGGAAACAACATGGCTGCATGTTGGGAATCAGGGGTCCTCCACTCTCCCTTCCCTCTTCCTTCCAGGACTTCTAATTAAACTAAGAACAGAGTTACATTATAAATAATATGATGGTACTTCTGCTGCCATTGTCACTGGAGAGATTTCAGAACCCAGGAACCTGTTTGGATCTCCTTTGTCTGAGCAGATGCTGTGCCTCTGTGAAGGTTCCAGTCCCCATGGTTTGGGTGAGTGGGAAGGACAGGGCTTCTGTCAAGAAACCAAGAAATGGTAAGAGTGTTTCACCACAGGATGTGACCAGAGATCAACCAAAGCGAGTGAAAATTCACAGTCACAGCCAGAATTCATATTTTATTTCAGAGAAGTCCCTGAGATCTCAGGTTAATTAACTAATCTTATAGGTTTTTCAATGATCACTTTCCTTCAAATACTTCCTTAGATATTAAGCTGTTTACTTTACCAAATACTACCTGTCAATTACACCCCAAGAAAGGGCAAAACAATGTCAAGGATGGGACAAACTCTGCAATTGAAGTGTCAGCACATCCAAACAAGAACCATCTGGAAATCTCATTTCAATGGCAATTGCCACTTGCTGCTGAGACACTGCATCTGCAACTGCCAGCAACACAGAGAAGGAACAGATCAACAGAGAGTAATTCTGCAGTCATGCTGCTCTCCTGGCTTCAGTGGGCATCCCAGTATGCACCTGCTTCAGAACAGATGCCATAAAATTGCAAAACAGCTGCTTATGCATACCTAGAGAGGAATAGGACAGAGGAGTAGAGCTCAATTATATTATACATTCTTCCCTGCACCACAAACTGATCTGATATTTAAACCTGTATCAAGGAACTGGAGCTGTTTTAAGAACATGTCTGTAACTTTCTTCTCTATTGGCCTTTTGGTTCTTTATATTTATTCACCCAGCAAAACAATGGGACCAAAAGGAAGATCAACAGCTATGTTCCACACCATCATATAGCAGCATGCAGAAATTCAGTCACCAAGTTCTTCCATGTTGACTGGCCCCTAAGTCATTGCAGTCAATCAGCACATTCCGAAGGATTAGATTATAGCCTTGTGTCACAGAAAGACTTGGCATGCTTATGAGGATGTTATTTTACAAATAAAAATGTAGAAAAAAATACACAATTTAGCAAGTGAGGGTGAATAATTCAGATCAATGGGATAGAAAGTGTGGTATAAAAACAGTTCTTCAAAACACAATATAATAAGTTCAATTCCTTTTGTGGAGGTAGCAGGATTAAACATCTTCATCTTTTTAGAATCTAGTAAATAAAATGCAACATCACATTTTGAAAAAATAATAATTTATTCCTCTTGTACTTTTACAAAAAAAACCATAATCAGTGAATACCTGCTAAAAGTCAGAAGGACTGACCTTTATCATTGACTTAGATGTRTCTTTATTAATTCTAGAATTTAAGTAGGCTCCGGAACTCCATAAGGAAGAAGAAAGTGATTCTGTAATTATTTTGGTTAACATTGCCTTTCATGGAGAAAGACAAAGGCCCAGGAGGATTTTCTTCTTTTAAATTCCATTAGGTTATCAACGGAGAAAAGTGAATATGTGTTAAATTAGTGACCCATGAATATATTACAAAGAGAGTCCATGACTCATAATAAATTCTACTTTCAATGAATGCTCCAAATTATTCCACTGAATAACATCAGTGTGTGTAAACCTGTTCCGTCTGCAGCTCCCTCAGCTCTAACCCTCAACACAATGACTTTTCTCATGCTCCCTGTGTAGCTTCTGTCTAACTTAGTTACCAGGGAAAGAGAAGCAGCTAAAATAACAGTTTGGTGTGAACCACACTTTTTCTCTCATCTGTGCACAGACCTTGTGGTCTATAAAAGTAAGAACCTCATTTCCTATTGGGGGTGTAGCATGGGAACCCAGGAAGTACATATGTACACTGCCAGGCTCTCAGGCACTGAACTCTGGGTCTGAGGCAGAAATAACACTTCTGTGTAGAGGGATATGAGCCTCATGCCACTCTCCCACCTTCTGTGTGTGTCCATGGCCTTTATCTACTCCTACTCTGGTAGGTTGGGTTCAAACATGGCTAAGAATGTTAAGGGGGAAAGGACTGCACATGGGCATATGGTGCTCCACTTGGAAGAAAGGGGCAATAGAGAAAAGCAATCTATGGTTTCAGTTTATTTTTGTTTTGTGTCCTAATTAGCCTAATGTTTATAATGTTTTAATCACTACATCAGAGGATCAGCCCTGTTTTCTGATTGTTCCCACAGGATTCAGTGTGGCCCAGAAAGTGATTCAAGTCCAGCCATCCACATCTGGTCAGGAGGGAGAAGCAGTCACCCTGGACTGTTCATATGGAACGGGTTGGAGTGCATATGATTTATTTTGGTACAAACAACTTCCCAGTGGAGAGATCATTTTCCTTATTCGTCAGAGCTCTTCTGGTGCAAATGAAATCAGCGGTCGCTATTCTGTCCAGTTCAGGAGAGCAGTTAAATCCATCAAGCTTACCATTTCACCCTTACAGCGGGAAGACTCAGCAAAGTATTTCTGTGCTCTCTGGGCAACCACAGTGTTTGAATTGATGGTAAAAGCTGAACAAAAACTCAGGAGCTCCATGGGAGATGGGTCCTGCTGCAGAAGCCAGCTGAGATGCACCTGCAGAGCCCAGGCAAGAAGACTGTGGCTTCCTACTCTGTGGTTTAGATCAGAAGATTCAATTCTAAGTAAAAATTGCTTCTATCCCATTTGGAAAGAGGTCTCTGC